GGACGACTCCAGATGTTTCTGGCCGTGGCAGTGGGTCTTTTGGTTTCATTATCTGACGCTTTATGGTTGCTTCCAGCCTGTGTGCATCTCCAACTCCAAGTGGTGCGAGAAGGCGGCCGATAGCCTCCGATATGTTTTCGCCAAATTTTTGGGTCGGTGCGACTTTGTTGGCCATCTCGTTTTCGTAGGCACCGGTTGAAGAATTTGCGCGGTAGCCGTTTTCTCTGAATTAGCCATCGAAGTTATTGTACCTGGCAACTTTATCTTCTGGTTCGCTGCAGCGCGTCTTAACACGCCGATAGGGCATCCTTACGCAACTGAATTTGAGACTGATAGGATGATTGCTGTTGTAATTCAGTAATTGCATCGTGTTTGTCACTTTCCTGATGACATTATTCTTAAGACCACTACAATCTTTGCGACAGAAGAGGACATCATCATTATAATTTAGTCATCACAGCGGCTCCAGGCGGGGAAGAGGTGTGTGTAGTAGATACAAATCAAGTCCGTTGTCCCTCTAGTCTAATTCGCGTGCATTTTACCGTCCCGGAACTCTTCGAAAGTTGGGATCAGAACTTTCAAATTAATGCTTAAAATGCCTAACTGTTGACTGACTGTGAAACTTAACCAATGCTATCTTCACTGCCAGCGTAACAGACCGAGGAATTTGAGAGCAAACATGTTACTGAGTCAGTCTGCGTTTCAGCAAAAAGTTTTTATTCCAACTTTACAGCCCATCTGGAAAATTCTAGCCTACTGGCATTACGCATTAATTTGTTAATTATCACGTCTGCTGTCTGTAGACCATAGCACATGCTCTCACTTCAATTGCCCCGAGAGACTTTTGCTTCGCAGAACATTAAGTTGAGCTCATTTAACTGTCTCCCACAGTCACACTTGATGTCCAACTATGATCGGATAATTGATGTTAAATTAATATTACGAGTCTGTCCGAAGACCCCTGACTGCTCGAATTTTAACTCCTCACGTGCACACTTGCCTCCCCACCCGTGTGAACGCTTATTGGCAATTGTATCCCGTTTGCAACTGTCTATATGCGTGGGACTGAAATCAAACTTAAGTTGGTAGACACATTCCTTCCCTTAGTCTCATCACAGTTACGACGGTTCTGAAGCAGAAACTACATTAGCTGAAGAAATTGCGTTTTAAACCGATCACAATGTATAAGATCTTTCAGATGCGATTGCGTTGTTAAATTGATTGCTAAACACGTTTAAAATAGTTTTCTTGCAATTGACTGCGAAGGAAGGCAGTTGAAATTTTTCCGCAAATCTCGCGACTTACATAAATACCTTATCTTTGAGAATAGGCATTTTTTCATATTTTTATGCCTTGTTCAGAATTGAACCGATTGGGACAATTCTACACACTTTTCAAATGAGTATCGTGAGATGGAATGCCCATTCAGTTCAATCAATGGCATTTAAAGTGTCTTTGCACTTAATGCATGTTTACTTTACACATGCGGTCATAAGTAATCGATTTTTGCCGAAATTACATCAATAATAAAAATATCCGATCAATTGAATGTTGAGAGTCGGCTCTGCATAACTCAAGAAACATGATAACTGGTGGATAATCAGTCTGTACAGGATTAATTTAGTAACTTCAGATAGACGTTTCCAAAGGTCGCGTAATTTAGTTGCCGTCAAGTGTAGCTGGTATGCTCAAACTTCATACATTTAGAAATAAGAAAAGACGATTTTATACAGCCTACTGTCCCTTTTGTCCGAATCATTGCCCGCACTTCTTTTCCTGTTCTTAAGACAGAGTAACCTCACATAAATGGAAGTCCACATTCCGCGGTTCATCATGTGATGCACGAAGCGAAGTCAAGACCAACAAGTACGTCGTCGAGAGGAAGACGACTCAATCGCTGGGACAATACTTTTATTCGAAACGATTTGCCCAATCCATATTCAGTGCTGAGACTCAATTTGGCCAAAGCAAATTGCCGCTTAGGGAACGGCCAGGCCAGCGCGTCACCCTACGCCAGTACCGGAGGGCCAGATGACCGAACAATCATCACGCCCGAGTCCACCACACGTGATGAAAGGTCAGTAGGTCAGAGTCCGCATGCCGTTCAACACAACACCAACAATCAAGAAGGCGATTACGGTTAATTGTCACTGTACGTTTGCAGTAATAACTGTATTCTATAAATACTGCAAATTCTTGTGCATACATTACCCTATCTGCTATGTCTCTGATGAAGAATCCGCGACGGATCTCGAAACGTCAAGCAAAAAAAAAGTATCGTCCCAGCGATCGAGTCGTCTTCTTCTTAATTACTTCCTCGGACTCGCATGTTCGCTTGTATTGGCAGGTACATCGTCATCATGCCCACGGACGAAGGGCATTCAACCGTCGCATTGCATAGAATATTATACCTTCAGATTGCCAGCCTTATGTGTCATGCAAAACCGACGCTGTAGAAACGATGACACGCGGGATTAATGCGACGCTGTTGGCAGTGCGTAAATCGAATGCAATAACGCATGGGGTTAGGTAAGAAATGGCCTTGGACCGGTTCTATAGCCTCCCCTCGGTAGACATGGAATGGCCCTTTCCTCTTTGTCATCGTATCACCCAAAGGCACTATAACATATGAATGGGCATAGTTGTTATTTCTGCGTCGGTCCGTTGGTTCAACTAATATGGCCTAAAGTTGGAAAAATGTCCATCAGTGAATTCAGAAGAGTAATTGGTGAGCATACGTAGGCTTTCGATAACTTCTCATACATTCATATTTGAAGGGGGGCAGAGGGTACAGGAAAAATATATGTTACAGGTTCTATCGGTCGCGCGAGACGGCACTTATCCAAAGGAATACGGAAGCACCTCCCGGCATGGCTGAGCAACGGTGAAGTCAGGAGCTATTCTTGCTCACATGGTTGACTCTGGACATCGGGCTGACCCCAAGGAAGCTCTCAAATTGGTTTATAAGTTGTCATAATACTATCCAAAGTCTCTGTATCAGCGTTTTCTAGCAACAAAAACCGTCTTACGGTTGAGAAGGCCGATTTTGTGTGCGCAAAAGAGCCTCCTGCAAGCTCCGAGCTTGGCATGACCAACAGTCACATAACTACCTGCACTTTTTGCGCGCTTTCGGTCTCCCTTCCCCCTCGCCATATTTGGCTTCAATAAACCCTCACTGCCGTCGCATATTATCGGCTCCAAACCCACCTCTCCCAACTCCATGCCTGATATGTCTGCAACTATGAACGCAGTTGCCCACCTGTTAACCTTTTCCTGTCTACCCCCCGCATATAAATGTAATGGCACGATGAGAATTTATCGAAAAGCTACGTTTGTTCACCAATTATTCCGAATATCTGGTCTTATTGTGAACGCAATTATTAGACGAAATTGGTAAGTGGGGCCCCGGT